TATATTTTTAACGTGATATTAATGGAATACGATATTAGTGTGGTTCGTAGTTCGTTACTAGAAATACCCCGCCAAGCAATTAGCTTCCCATATCAGCCAAATGTGACAAAACAAGCATTCAAAAATACTACCCTCATAACAATTTCAATCAGTACAAATTTGTGTTAATTTTACTTTGCACGGCTATTAAACATGGTATTATAGGCATACATATATATATATATTTTTTTATTTTAAAAAATCCTCCATATTAACTTCGCTTTTGTTTGTGAGTGGCTGGCTAACTTGGTGGCAAAATATCTGGATGGCTAATTGACCCACCTCTCGGCAACCTATGAAGAGCTGTAAGGCTAACACTCGAAACATAGACTTGTTGTCCATGACAACCCCATTACATCAAGTTTTCAGCTTCACCCTTCCTCCCCACCAGCCAACCCTAGCCCCAAATAAAGTTGTTTTTTTTCTTGTTATCCCATGGGAAGATAGAAGGAGAATCCCAATAACTGCGCTAAGTGAGAACCTCTCTACCAAAATATCTCAAGTTCGTTTTGCGTGTAATATCGTCTTTTGTTTTGTTCTGAAATGATTTAATAAAACTGATGTGTCAAAGCGTTTGGGTCACAAGAATATTAACGTATTTCAGGGGCTTGGAAAAATGAATGTGCGGCTGCGCGCCTTCGGTGAGTTGCCCAATTTGGAATTCTTATAAAGTGCGTTACTTGAATGTATGGGTTTGTTTTGTTTTTTTAGCCCCACCCCAATTACAATTTAACTTTTATAAAGGATTTATTCCAAAAAACTTGGTTTTTATGGGTTGTTTATTTTATTTTATTTGATGAAATGGGTTATTTGTCGATAATAAATAACTTTTTTTAAGAAAACACAGTTTTGCGTCTCATCTCATTTGCTTTATTCCTCCATAGTGTATACAATATATATTTTTAATTTGCCACATATAAAAACTGCTGCAAACCTGTACATGATCTTAAGGTGCACTGAGTCCCTTCGGCGTACATATTTGTGCTTCTAGTCTTGCCTCTGAGCTTCTGTCGGGATCAGTTTGTAATTATCGTTCAGTAGCCATCCTCATTCATTTAATTAGACTGTCACCTGGTGGCAACAGAAGAAAAAAAAAAGACAAGGTCGTGGAGATTCCAACTGAAACGGTTGGGGATTTTGGAGAGGGACCAAACAAAAAAAAGGATAGGTCTTCTTCGATAAATATCATGTAAGCCTGCCAGTGGCAGTGAGACCCAGGCAAGACGACGTCATTCCTGGACGTTTCCTCATTTTCTCGGTTAATTTGTTTCTGGCATAAAGCGAATTTTAAACAAAGTTTGTCCTTTTTTTTTTCCTGACCTAGTATAAAAAATGCATTTTTTGCATTTCGCAAAAAATGCATTTTTTGCATTTCGCACATTTTTTACATAACCGTGATAATTCTATAGCATGGCCCGCATGGACTTTTGTAAAAATATGAAATAATACATAGCAAATAATAAACATAAAATGAACAAACAGCATATGGAAAAAAATGAACAATTCCTTGCACCGGTCAAGAAGACAGTAAAGTTTTTTGCTGATCTGACAAAGTTTATTTAACCCAACAAAATATCTTTTTAAATCAAGGAAAAGCTTCTAATACACAAAACATGTTCATGTGGTATACACGGAGATGATCACCATGCCTTCGTGTCCCACTGTAAAACATCGATATGAACTTATATGTTGAAAGCTTAAGAATTTCGAGAATTATCACGGCCACCATATTATTATATGTAACAAAAAGTTTTGGCAAAAAAAACTACAAAAATCGTATATGTGACAACGATACGGCCACTGTATACTTGACCGATATTTAACAAAACGGCCGCCACATGTGTTACCAATAGATCTGACAAATACACTATGCAAAACCTATAGATAGCCTCTAGATCTGACAAAAACACTACAATATATGTCTGCTGAACACCTGGATGTGAGGAAAAAAAATACGGGTACTGAATAACCCCTGGGATCTGATGACAGTACTAATGACACCGTACATTTAAACTTTAGAGCTGACAATCAAAAAAACAACGGTGTATTTATGTTTAAACTTTAGATCTCAAGTAAAAAAAAAAAAAACATAGGCCATCATTTAGTGAACCACTAAAACTAAAAAAAAAAAAAAAAAAAAAACAAATTTTTTAAACTTTAGAACAAAAAAAAAAAAAAAAAAACATAGGCCATCGTGTAGTGAGCCCCTAGATCTAAAAAAAAAAAAAAAAAAGAAACCGTATAGCTAACATTTAGAGTTGACCAAAAGAGCACTCGGGCCATAACTTTTTTTAGATTTAGGGGTTGAATGTACTGTTCTTAAGAATTATAATTTACTCTGATGACTATATGGTTTATTATAATTTACTTTCAAAAAGCTTTAAAATCTCATGAAATAGCAAAACGAGGAATTTGGAAGCTTAATATAAAACGATTAAAACAAATTAAGGTTAAACTTGAAAAAGAGGAACGCAAACAAAAAAAACGAACATGTCGGCAGGAAGTCTTCGTCAGTGATTAAATCAACAGGAAAAAAAAACAGCATAAAATTTAAAAAATAGCATTTAGCTTAGAAGTAGTGTCCGTGGGCAGCAAATGATTTGTAACAGAAAGTTATTGAGTGAGAGATTAAATAGGGAAGAGGGAAAGAAAAGTCCACTACGATAGGTCAGTACGTGAAGGCATGAATTTAAGTACAAGACATTAAGATTAGATTGTGGGCCTTATTTTTCACGGTGTCAATATTTATATTCTCTCACTTCCTGTAACCCTACTTCCGGGCACAACAATGGATATTTCTTGAGTTGTTTACAGTGATTTGTTCCTTGTGATATCTTCATTTGCCCTGTGCACTGAAGAATGCTCTATGCCGAAACACTCTATTTGTTGAACTGTAGATCTTAGTGTCCTGTTCTCATCCACCAACTTTTATTGATGCAAAGATAACTTTCGGAAGATTGTCGTCTAAACCACAAGTAAGTGCCTCAGTCTTACCATCATTTAATTTTAGTCTGTTTGATGACATCCCATCTTTCACAGCAAGACAGCAGCCCTCGACAGCTTGAACAGCAGTAGCACACTCCAAGGGATCAGGCCGGAAACACTTGAATAGTTCTGTGTATCTGCAAAAAAAAAAAAAAAAAAAAATTTTACCCTTTTTTTTTTTTTTTCAAAATTAGAGTGAAAATATAATTTTTTTTTTTTTTGTTTTTTTTTTTTTTTTTGTTTTTTTTTTTTTCTTGAATAGTTCTGTGTATCTGCAAAAAAAAAAAAAAAAAAAAATTCGACCCATTGTTTATTTGATTCACAATTCGTGTGACAATAAGAGATTTTGTTTGTTTGTTTATTTTTATTGTGTTGGTCTTTTTTTTTATAATTCTTGTCATTGGCTATTATTTCAGTGCACTGTTCCGGATCTCTCTTCAGGGGATTCAAGCCGATAGTTTCACTGCTTCTTCTTCAAAATCGGTTGTTTTGGGATTTGATAACGTTTAGAAATCTCCTTCATAAATTAAAAACAAGGACAGCTTTCTTGACAATGGTCACAGTTCAGATCTTTAATATTATCTCCGGGTTCAACAACACATATACTTATATTTCACTCGGAGTCTGCTCCTACAAGTTCACGCAAAGAAAAGTAGTAACTACCATTGTGCAACATTGATGTCGCAATAATGCGTACTTTACGTTATAAATTTCCGAGAGAACTACTTGAACGACTGGGGAACTAACATTAGCTTCCACTGATTGGCAACTCTAGGGCTAACATACGAGAACCAAATATCCTCTAAAATTACTTTGCTGCCGATGCCTTTAAAGTGAAAACAGGAGTCAGGCAAGTGTGTCTCTTGTCCGCCCCTCCTTCCTAGTTATCCTTCTCATTGACGAATATTGAAAAAATCAATAACAAAGCGAGAAATGGGATACAAGCGACATCCTTGGAACAAATAAATAACGTAGACTTTGCAGATAACATTGCAATCCGTCCCAGGGCCATCAACAAAAGATTTCTCTACCATTTCGGCAAAGCTTGTTGTCAACATACATAGAAGCAAGACAAAGATCATGAAGGTGAACCAATCCAAACAAGAACATATATCTCTAGCAGAAAATGCACTGGAAGATGTGGAGGTCTTCACATACTTGCCTATTGCTGAAGAGATCAAAGGATCAGACGAAGGTAGATAAGGCACACTTTCGAAAACCCCAGAAAACATCAACAAACAATCCCTAAAATTGAATCCTAGGAGGAAAAGAAAGAGAGGAAGGCCTGAGAATCATGGAGCCGCCGGCTAGAGACAGACACACAAATTATGGGATACACCTGTAAGAAACTGGAAAGGAAAACAAAGGACTGAAAAAACTGAAAAATTATTGTAGACGGCCTATGCCCCAGACGGAATAGTTGCCATCCGTCACCACCCAAGCACCCCTCCATTGGCATGGCAAACGGGAGCCCTCAGCCTTGTCCCTTCATCTGTTCCAGATTTGGCACGCATGGCGATTTTCATTGGCTCACGGGAGAACAAAAGCATCATTATAAATGACTAAAATATGCGTCATTAATGATAATCTTATTCGTGTCTGCACCCTGAATGACGCAGAATTTTTACTTTGGCACGATAATAACGAAAGTTTGCAGAACTCTGAATCGAATGTACCAGGTAAACAAAAAGGTATTGTTTGCTTATTGATGCAGTTCTCTACCAACCCTTACAAACGCAGACACAGCTCCCTCCCCCCCCCCCCACCCCCCCCACCCACCCCCCCCCCCACCCCCCCCCCCCCACCCCCCCCCCCCCCCCCCCCCCCCCCCGCCGTTCTCAGAATGAGCCAGATATCTAACACAGAACGTGTTCTCATGTGTGGGACAACAATACATACGCTCGATGTATGGTCAACACAACCAGAAGTATTATTGAATAGAGAGAAAGTCTTTAAAACGGACTAAGAAAATCAATGATAAACCTAGGCTGGTTGCGAAAATGTATCATATGGCCCCCCTCCCTGGGTTTAGTGTCTTGCTAGTTAAACTTTTATGAAACTAGACTGTTGGAGAAGTGTCCAGCTTGGGAACTTTTGTTATAATGACTTACGTGTAGCATATTTTACAAGTGAGTACAATTTACTACAAGGCACCCGTCGCGCAAGTTAAAGAATTTTTTTCACCTAAGTTGTCTAATATTACCAAGTGTCTACCTCTACCTCTTGCCTACCGCTACCCGAAGCTTACCACTAACTATTGCCTACCTTTAACTTGTGTCTACCTCTTCTCATTTCATACCACTACCTCTTGCTTACCTCTTCCTGGTGTCTAACTCTACCTTTTTTCTACCTCTACCTCTATTTTGAAACTTTGTTAATTACTCAAATTAATATTTAGTGTTTAGCATGCGTTACTTTTATTCTATTAAAAGTGACCTCTTTTGTCATCTACCACAACAGAAAGTTTAACTTCACTTTCAATTTCAGCTTTATTAGTAACATACGCAAATAAAAATTTTGATGTCAACCATGATTGTTACCCCCCCCCTTTTCCCGTGTCACTAACTGTCACACTTTAATAGACCCCCTCCAGAGTGTGACGTAGTATATGGGCGGCCCCCTTAATGATAAGAATGCTCAAAGCTAAATATTTGTACATCTGTCAGGTCAAACATTCAAACTAGGAAGAAAAGATTATGTTAATCCCTTTGTTCTTAGTTCCCATTTCATCCCCCTCAACTTATCAGTGCTAGTGCATGTTGTCATGAGTCGCTGTGGGGAAGTAAAGATTATATTAACCCTTTGTTCTTAGTTCCCATTTCATCCCCCTCAACTTATCAGTGCTAATGCATGTTGTCATGAGTCGCTGTGGGGAAGTAAAGATTATATTAACCCTTTGTTCATAGTTCCCATTGGATCCATTCAACTTATCAGTGCTAATGCATGTTGTCATGAGTCGCTGTGGGGAAGTAAAGATTATATTAACCCTTTGTTCTTAGTTCCCATTTCATCCCCCTCAACTTATCAGTGCTAGTGCATGTTGTCACGAGTCGCTGTGGGGGATAGCATTGTCTAATATAGGTCCCTTTCCGTATGGCCACAGAAATCACTGTCAAAGAGTCTAGAACTGCCGCTTCTTTTTCCAGCCCCTACAAGGCTGAAGTGTAGTAAGAGGTCTAAGACGTTGTAAAGCTAAGGTTTCTTTATTGACGGTTAAAATGTGCAATACATTAAACAAATTGCATACTGAAAATAATCACTGATTTTCCAGATTCAATATTAGTTTCCGAAAAATACGACACCATCTATCACAAGAAAAAAAAAAATTCCTGCCTGGCAAAAACTATGGAATTTATTTAATTAAATACGTTTTAAACAAGACAAAAATTTTACTATTAATTCAAGTGTAACTTTTTTAATTACAAATGTTTATTGACTTGTGTTGTCTGCTGAACGAGGCAGCTAGCCGCAACGTCCAATTAATTGTCTTGTCTTGTATGTTCAAGCCTAACATAACTTGTAGCATTCTCTTTATGTGACCTGATTTAGCCTTATGCCATCTTGTAGTGTCTGCCTCTCTGGCCAAATAATATTTTAAAGAGATGTAGTTTTTTGTTTTTTTTTACAATTTTATATTTTGGAGAATGTATTGATCTTATTTAAATCTATTTTTGCTTCTAATTTTTTGAGTCAAATAAGACTATAAAATTGCTAAAAATCTTCCTTTTTAAAAAATCCCAAATGTTTCTTCTACTTTGCAGCGTAGTAGACTAGAATCTTGATTTCACAACATCACACACTGAATTAAGGTGACCGAATATGTGAACGCACGGTAATTGAATACAGCCTGACTCCAAACCAGGATACTATATCGTAATTTATTTTTATTTTCTGAATATTAAAGATCTTACATGTGAGCAGTGTTGAAGCATGGCAAGATCTGCAAAATTCTGCATGTTCGTAGCTGTACTTTTTGCATCAGGTGCCCTGTACTTTACCGCCTCTTTAAAAAACACAAGAGAATGGATATTGGAGTCTTATATCAGCAATTTCAACAATTATTTAGACATGAGTCCTACACCAATTTCCGGGAAACCAAAATCCTCGACATCAAATTCCCCGATACCAAAATCAACTATATCGAGATCCATGATACAAACATCAATGAAATGGACTTCCACGAAACCAACTTACATTTTACCAACATCCACGATATCATCTGCACCCATACTTACATCAACGATAACACAATCCACGATTCCGACATTCAAAGAAGGAAAATCCACGATGCCAACTTCCACGACAACACAATCCACGATACCAACAAAAACGATACTAACAGCCATACCAGGAACTTCAAATTTGACAAACATAAACTGGTCAGGAATTCATTCATCGCCTTCATTTGTACATACGGGTATTAGCAGAATCAAATTGCCGGATAAAAGCATTAATGCTGCGAGCTTAACTACCCGACTTGAGAAAAAGTATTATAGTAAATTTGATCGGATACCCGCGCAATTGTACGGAGTACCTGAAGTAGACTGTGCCGCCCTCTTCCAAGGCGATGAAAAAGCATTAAATAATGCCACAAAAGTAAAGACGACAGTCGGTAGTGCTTTAACAGATGAGTTTTATTTGAATGCCACAACCGACTGCGATGATTTTCAAGTGAGTCGCGGTTATGTCATGTCATCATTAACAGACGAGGAGCAAAACTTTCCCATCGCGTATTCGTTAGTTGTGTACAAAGATTCCGAAATGGTGGAACGGCTGCTGCGGGCAATCTTTAGGCCACAAAACTACTATTGCATTCATGTGGACCTCAAGGCGACCGAAAGTTTTCACAAAGCTATGGCGGCCATAGCTCAATGTTTCCCTAACGTGTTCTTATCTAACAAGAGGGTTGACGTCAAATGGGGTACATTCACGGTGATAGAGTCTGAGCTCATCTGCATGAAGGAACTTTGGCGCTACAGGAAGTGGAAATATTTCATCAACCTGACGGGCCAGGAGTTCCCGCTGAAGACGAACTTTGAACTGGTGAAGATCTTAGAAGCTTTCAAGGGAGCCAACAACATCAATGGAACTATAAAAAAGTAAGTGACAGGTTATTGACATTATGTCCACCTATTTAAAAGATCATTAAAAACCTTTGTAATATCAGTTGATCGAAATATTTTTAATTCGCACTCTTAGTTATATTCGCGAAAGTTTGAGACTAGAAGGAGAGTCTTAAATTGGTTGAGGTAAAACGTTGTTGGGTTTGCGAGGAAGGGCAATAAAAATCAGACTCCCTGAACAAATCTGCAAAGTCTCACCCAGAATTCAGAATCGCCAGTCACTTATTTGTGTGTAAAAAAACTGGCGTGCAGACCACCTTCAAAAATGTGGTGTCGGCAGACTACCTTTGAACAAAGGGGTATGGGCAATTAGCAGACAGCAAAAGGTTAGAGATTTGCATTTGCTAAAATGACGCTTAATACCGAACAAGACCCCTGGTGGAAATTGGGTAACTTTTCACCATAGTCGTGTGACCCAAATGTGAACCGAGCACTGCCCCACTAACTCATAATTTAACAGGCTAGACAACCACAGGGACCCGAACTGTCGGCTCTTTACTATGAACCAGGAGACCCTAGCTCATCTGTTGACTAGGTGCCCTGCACTGGATGTAAGGGGTGATCGGCCAGGGTGGCGCGAGAGTCCTACGTTACCACGTTTTACAAGACAGCCCAGCAGATGGAGCTGGTAGCCATTGTACTAGCCGGCACCGCCCAGCAGATGGAGCTGGTAGCCAATGTACAGCCGACACAGCCCAGCAGATGGAGCTGGTAGCCAATGTACTAGCCGACACAGCCCAGAAGATGGAGCTGGTAGCCAATGTTCTAGCCGACACAGCCCAGAAGATGGAGCTGGTTGCCAATGTTCTAGCCGACACAGCCCAGAAGATGGAGCTGGTTGCCAATGTTCTAGCCGACACAGCCCAGAAGATGGAGCTGGTTGCCAATGTTCTAGCCGACACAGCCCAGAAGATGGAGTTTTTAGCCAAAAAATTCCCAAAAAGCACCGACCCACCACTCATATTTTTACAGATGACCTATCAACGGTGTGATTGATTTCACTTTTTTTTCAGGGCGTCTTATCTTTGGTATAAATTGGTGTTCTATAAACACTGTTGTTATTATGTGATTTTATATAACATAATATGTGTTACTTTTTAATGAGGCATGTCTTTAATGCTCGTTATCCCTTGCAATCCTATGCCTATAAATATGAATGAATTTTTTTTTTCTGTTTACACCAGCGCGTACAGACACCGATGGAGAAACACACTACCCCCGTTGGGAATACAGCCATCTTTGGGACCCGTTCACATCTCTGCCAACAGGTCATTATTGGCACGTTTCAGTTTTTTCAGTAGTTGCAATTTTTTCTTTCCCATGACACATTTTTGTGTTTTACCGTTTGTGTGTACCATTACAGCCCAGAATGCTGGTCATTGCTTTTGGTGGGAGGTATTAGGGAGGACAGAGAAACAGTCTGGAGGTATTAGGGGGACTGAGAAACAGTCTGGAGGTATTAGGGGGGACTGAGAAACAGTCTGGAGGTTTTAGGGAGCCGAGAAATGGTCTGGAGGTACTACGGGATGGAGAAATAGTGTCGAGATACGAGGTTGCTGAGATTTTGGTTTGAAATGAGTTTCACAGAATCTGTTCCCGTCAAATTCTGGGCGTGCCACCCAGCAATAAATATTTGTATAAAGTCGTGTTTTAGTTCGGACCTTTTTGTTAATAGTTGTCTGATTTCAATCCTTAACATCAAGGTTTTCTATAAAAAAAACAACAACAAAAACACAGTAGTGGGGGGGGGGGTGGGGGGGAATTACATGAAAACCCCAAGGAGAGCAAGAAATAAGGAAAAGCATCAATCCTTAACATCAAGGTTTTCTATAAAAAAAACAACAACAAAAACACAGTAGTGGGGGGGGGGGTGGGGGGGAATTACATGAAAACCCCCAGTAGAGCAAGAAATCATGAAAAGCATGTAACCATGATTAGGACACAGCATGAGCAAAGCAATGCCAAATATAACAAGGTAAGCACTTCATGGCATACTCAAGGGTCAAAGGGCAGAGAAGGACCACGGAACAACCTGATGGAGAGAGGTAAGCAGGTCCGTCATGAAGATTGAACAGAGTTGAAAAGATTTAAGAGATAGCAAAGAGACCGAAAGGCTTGAAAAGAAATATCTGTTGGCTTAACCTCCAATGGAAGTTAAAAATTTTAAAAAAAGAATGAAGAGTCTGATTGTACCACACATGTATTGAAAAGGATGTGTGTTACTGTGACTGCACCACACAACCACGCATTTTTAAAAAAAAAAGTGTTTTTCTGTGACTGCGCCGCACAGCCACGCATGTATTGAAATGGACGTGGGTTCTTCTGACTGTGTAACCACTCCATGTTTATTTAAAAGTCACGAAACGAGCGAGGTGCAAGACGGTACGGATCCAGTGCAAACCATGCATTTCATCAAAAGCGATGAAACGAACAGTTATGTAGCTAGCTGCCCTGCCAGTATAAAGGTCGGGTTAACTGAGAGACGGCAACTGACACAGTTTTTTTTCTTCTCTAGATCATTTTTTAAAATTAAATGTTCTTGCCATGAGGTTAAGTATTGTGAAGCATGAAGGAGGTTGATAGGCGGAGCGAGACGATAATATGTTGTGGAAGGCAGTGATAGAAAAAGGGAGACAATAAGTTGTTGTGGAAGGCAGTGGTATAAAAAGTTAAACAATAAGTTGTTGTGAAAGGCAGTGGTAGAAAAAGGGAGACAATAAGAGGTCGTGAATGGCAGTGATAGAAAGAGGGAGACAATAAGAGGTCGTGAAAGGCAGTGGTAGAAAAAGGGAGACAGTAAGTTGTTGTGAAAGGCAGTGGTAGAAAGAGGGAGACAATAAGACGTCGTGAAAGGCAGTGATAAAAAGAGGGAGACAATAAGAGGTCGTGAAAGGCAGTGATAGAAAGAGGGAGACAATAAAAGGTTATAAAAGGCAGTGGTAGAAAAAGGGTGACAATAAGAGGTCGTGAAATGCAGTGATAGAAAGAGGGAGACAATAAGAGGTCGTGAAATGCAGTGAGAGGCAGAGGGAGACAATAAATGGTTGTAAAAGGCAATGATTGAAAAAGGGAGACAATTAGATGTTGTGGAAGGCAGTGATAGAAAAAGGGAGGCAATAAGAGGTTGTGAAAGGCAGTGATAGATAAAGGGAGACAATTAGAGGTTGTGGAAGGCAGTGAGAGGCAGAGGGAGACAAAAAATGGTTGTAAAAGGCAGTGATATAAAAAGGGAGACAATTAGAGGTTGTGGAAGGCAGTGATAGAAAAAGGGAGGAAATAAGAGGTTGTGAAAGGCAGTCATAGAAAAAGGGAGGCAATAAGAGGTTGTGAAATGCAGTGATAGAAAAAGGTAGACAATAAGAGGTCGTGAAAGGCAGTGAGAGGCAGAGGGAGACAATAAATGGTTGTAAAAGGCAGTGATAGAAAAAGGGAGACAATAAGAGTTTGTGAAAGGCAGTGATAGAAAAAGGGAGGCAATAAGAGGTTGTGAAAGGCAGTAAGAGGCGGAGGAAGGCAATTAAAGTTTGAGAAAGGCAGTGATGGAAAAAGGGAGACAATAAGAGGTCGTGAAAGGCAGTGAGAGCCAAAGGGAGCTCTTATGTTTTGAAAGACAGTGATAGGCATTAAGGGGTTTTGAAAGGCAGAGGAAGGCAATAAGAGGTTGAGAAAGGCAGTGATAGAAAAAGGGAGACAATAAGAGGTTGCGAAAGGCAGTGACAGAAAAAGGTAGACAATAAAAGGTTGAGAAAGGCAGTGATAGAAAAAGAGAGACAATAAAAGGCTATAATAGGCAGAGGGAGGCAATAAAGGGATGTGAAAGGCAGCGGTAGGTGGATTAAGAGACAATTTTAAACCCTTACACAAAAAGAAGTTCAACTAAAGATGACATCCAAGAAAACTTTCACACAAGCCAATTTACCACTGAATTTTAAATTTTTAAAACTATAAGTTCTAGGACTGTCAAATAACGTCATTGTTAAATCATTCTAATTTTTTTTTTACATTCGTGATTTTAATTATAACCTTATTTCTACTAACGTCTGATATTCCATGACTCTAGATCTCCCAGCATTGATAGTTAAACCACCAATTAGATTAGTGTAATTTAAAAATATGCTAATAAAATAACATTGTTGCAGACACTTTGTTGATTACATACTGCACAATGACACGGCGCATGCGCTCTTGGAATGGACGAACGGAACGGATATCCCCGATGAAACGTTCTTCACGACATTGAATTTTAACCCTCAGCTGGGAATCAAAGGCTCCTTCAAAGGTTTGGAAATAACTTTAATTTTTTTTTTTCAAATGTCATTAATTGTATACAGAATGTGAGCTGTGATTATTCTTATCTGACTCCTAAAATTTCGTATTCAATTATTTCTAAATATACAATTTTGTGATTGGATACTGCTTTCCCCTTTAAAAGAACACTTTTGCTATTTGACGTGGCTTTTAAATTCGTTTTTTAATTCATATTTCATGATGTTTTTTTTATATTTTTGTATTTTTTTAAAAACAAAAAACAGTTTTGTTAACAATAATCTCCAACATCCCCACCCCGCCAACTTAACCACAATCGCCAACGTGTCAGTCCACCCCCGGACACCTCCTCCACCAGAACATGCATTACAGGCCTAAACACTAAAGGTTCCACACCAACTCTGTCGTCCCTCCACACAAATGCACACAAGGAAAGTTGACAGTCTAAAAAATACACAATTTTCTGGTAACAGGAAAGCTGAAAATCTAAAAGCTACGCTATTTTATGGTCAAGTGAAAACTGACAATCTAAAAACAACACTATTTTCTGGCGAATCATGACTTGCAACCCATTATTCGGTTGTTCGGTTGTAGATGGTTAATGCATTTTTATCTAGGCTGAATCATCCCTAGACCTTATTTCTTACTGATGTTGTGGAAAATGTATCGACATTACAATGTTCGTGCAGTAATATATTTTTTGGCGTTGGTTTCAGGTGATCCTGACAGCATTGGCCCATTTATATCCAGGTACAAGCTCTGGAGTCATTTGACTAGTTCATGCGCGGGGCATTTCGTCCGAGGCATCTGTATTCTTGGTTTAGGTGAGTTGAACAACGTTTTTACCTGACAATGGAGAAGTGTGGAGTGCAAAGCACGGGCTTATTAAAAAGAAATACCCAAATCGAACATCCCCTAACGGCTTGCTGCAATATTCTTTTATATTTTTTTTTTAACACGTTTACAAATAGCCTTGAAACATAGACATGGGATCAAATGGACTGAAAAAGAGAGGGCATCAAATGGACTGAAAGCATAGTGATGGGACTAAGCAGCCTGGAAGCAAAGTGATGGGATCAAATATCCGAGGAAAATAGCAATGTGGTTTTAAATAGCCTGGAAACATAGATTTGGGATTAAAAAATATTGATGAGATTCTGTGTTGAAATTGTTAAACAAAGTAGAATGACTATGTCTACAGATGCTGTCATGTTATTTAGCATTCTTTTATGTATCTACATTATACGTTTTTAATTATTTTTTTTAACTAAAAACTCAATAGTCCAATTACAAACCAAGTCACACCTACACATCAGAATAATATGTTTTGTTTTTCGCATAAGATCTGAGCTCCAACCTAATGGTGCTGTTTGTGTGATCATTGATAACGTCATTTCCAGACCGTCTGTCTTCCAGGTGACCTGCCTCGTCTTGCAGCAGCCGTTGAAATGTTCGCCAACAAGTTCTTCCTCTGGGAGGATCGTGTCGTCATCGGCTGCCTCGAGGAGAAGTTGTTTAACGACACGAGAGATGAATACCTGGGTGTCAAACGGTTTGATGCCTCGTACTATGGCGGCCTCAATTTTGTGACGGACCAAGTCACATAGAGAAACTATAATATCTGCATTTAATTTAAATGTATCTGTGTGTTTGGGGGATTGTATATGTTGCGCCTATTTTACATGCTATAAAATGTTTGATAATTCAATATTTACTTATTATTATGGTCAAGCGTTATTGCTATTGTTTTCACAGTTTGTAATGGGAGTCGCTTAGTCGATTGATTTGTCACGTGATGAGAGTAAAAAACGAGTAAGACTTCCGGTAGGCTGTATACAACACACCAGTGCTTGACAACATTAGCCCGTTACACACTACAACTAGTAATTCAAGATGCCTAGACAATGTTCGTCTTTTTGCTGTTCAAACAGTCAAGTTAAGGACAGCGGTATAAGTCTGCATAAGTTTCCGCTTAAGGATAAATAAAATTTAAGACAATGGCTTGACAAAGTGGACCTTCGTTAATTATTCACATGAAATCTTGTTCCAACCGGTTATTAAAATATTCCTTCACCGCACCAATATTGAATAAAAACGCAAATCACAACGGATACCGTATATTTCATCCATTAGATCTAACAATCTCACAACGGATACCGTATATTTCATCCATTAGATCTAACAATCTCACAACGGATACCGTATATTTCATCCCTTAGATCTAACAATCTCACAACGGATACCTTATATTTCATCCATTAGATCTAACAATCTCAAAACGGATACCGTATATTTCATCCATTAGATCTAACAATCTCACAACGGATACCTTATATTTCATCCATTAAATCTAACAATCTCACAACGGATACCGTATATTTCATCCATTAGATCTAACAATCTCACAACGGATACCGTATATTTCATCCATTAAATCTAACAATCTCACAACGGATACCGTATATTTCATCCATTAGATCTAACAATCTCACAACGGATACCGTATATTTCATCCATTAGATCTAACAATCTCACAACGGATACCGTATATTTCATCCATTAGATCTAACAATCTCACAACGGATACCGTATATTTCATCCATTAGATCTAACAATCTCACAAAGGATACCGTATATTTCATCCCTTAGATCTAACAATCTCACAACGGATACCGTATATTTCATCCCTTAGATCTAACAATCTCACAACGGATACCGTATATTTCATCCATTAGATCTAACAATCTCACAACGGATACCGTAAATTTCATCCCTTAGATCTAACAATATCACAACGGATACCGTATATTTCATCCCTTAGATCTAACAATCTCACAACGGATACCGTATATTTCATCCCTTAGATCTAACAATCTCACAACGGATACAGTATATTTCATCCATTAGATCTAACAATCTCACAACGGATACCGTATATTTCATCCCTTAGATCTAACAATCTCACAACGGATACCGTATATTTCATCCATTAGATCTAACAATCTCACAACGGATACAGTATATTTCATCCATAAGATCTAACAATCTCACAGCGGATACCGTATATTTCATCCATTAGATCTAACAATCTCACAACGGATACCGTATATTTCATCCATAAGATCTAACAATCTCACAGCGGATACCGTATATTTCATCCATTAGATCTAACAATCTCACAACGGATACCGTATATTTCATCCATAAGATCTAACAATCTCACAACGGATACCGTATATTTCATCCATTAGATCTAACAATCTCACAACGGATACCGTATATTTCATCCATTAAATCTAACAATCTCACAACGGATACCGTATATTTCATCCATTAGATCTGACAATCTCACAACGGATACCGTATATTTCATCCATAAGATCTAACAATCTCACAGCGGATACCGTATATTTCATCCATTAGATCTAACAATCTCACAACGGATACCGTACATTTCATCCATAAGATCTAACAATCTAACAACGGATACCGTATATTTCATCCATAAGATCTAACACAAACACAACGGATCCAATATGTTTATCCCCCTAGATCTAACAAAACCACAACGAATAACCTATATTTAACCCCATTGATCTTACAATGGAACAACGGATACCATATATTTATTTATTTAGGCATTTTTATATAGCGCTTACCTTAAAGCTCTAAGCGCTTTACAATTATTAAAAACATGTAAACTAACTAAAATAAAAATGAGACATTAGGATAGTAACTACTATACTATAGAAACAATTAAAATGGCTATAAATGCTCCTGTGAAACCGTGGTTTTGGCCTATATTACAGGATTAACCCGAGACAGAAAATGAGGCAGGGCAAGGAGGGTGCATCACAGGTCATAGGCGGACCTAAACAGATGGGTTTTAAGGGACTTTTTAAAAGTGGACGAGGTTTCACAATGACGGATATGGAAGGGGAGCTGGTTCCAGAACGTGGGCCCATGGAAGTAGAAGGAGCGTTCACCAATGGTCTTAGCTAATACCGTAAATTTAAGCCCACAAATCTAACAAAGACACGAAGTATACCGTATATTTCAACACCTAGATCTAACCAAAACAAAAAAAAAATACCGTACATTTAAAGCACTAGATCTTACAAAGACACAACCTATCAGATATATTTAACAAATGAGATCTAAAAAAGCCACAATGGATACCGTATATTTAAACCCTAAATCTAATAAAGCCATAACGAATACCCTATATTTACCTCTTAGATCAAACAAAGCTACAACGGATACCGTATATTTCACACCCCAGATCTAACAAAACCAAAAATAATTCCGTATATATTACTCCCTAGATCTGACAATGGCTACCGTATATTTAAACCTTAGATCTAACAAAGCCCAAACGAATACCATATATTTAATCCCTTAAATCTAACAAATCCACAACGGATTACCGTATATTTAACACCTTAGAAATAACAAAGGCACAACAAATACCTTATATTTAACACCCTAGATCTAACAAAGCCACAACGGATACCGTATATTTAACCCCCTAGTTCTAACAAAGTCACAACGCATACCGTATATTTTACCCCCCAAAGATAAATCGTGGATTCGAAGATGATGTCGTAGATAGAATCGGAAAAGGTAGGTCAAAGTATGTGCTTCTAAAGAAAACATGGCAATTACAGGAAATGACTCTGTAAACGAAAGTCATAATTTTTAACACAGTGTCAAAACAGACCTACTCTATAAAACCAAAACATTGAGAACAGCAGCGAGCATCATGCATAAAGTACAGACCTCCATAAATACTTGCCTTAAAAGATCCTGAACATCAAATGGCCAAACACTACAAATAACAAAGACTTACTGGAAAGGGCATACCAGGAGCCTACTGCTGAAGAGATAAAAAAGGAGAAGGCAAAGGTAGATAGGGCACACATTTCGTAAACCCCGGAAAACTTCAACAAATAATCCCTAAAATTGAATTCTAGAGGAAAAAGAAAGAGAGGAAGGCACGAGAAACACGGAGCCGCCGGCTAGAGACAGACACACAAATTATGGGATACACCTGTAAGAAACTGGAAAGGAAAACAAAGGACTGAAAAAACTGAAAAATTACTGTAGACGGCCTATGCCCCAGACGGAATCTCACAATCCCTCACCACCCAAGCACCCCTCCATTGGCATGGCAAACGGGAGCCCTCGGCCTTGTCGCTTCATCTGTTCCAGATTTGGCACGCATGGCGATTTTCATTGGCTCACGGGAGAACAAAAGCATCATTATAAATGATCAAAATATGCGTCTTAAATGATAATCTTTTTCATAATTGCACGCTGGATGAAGTGGGATTTTTACTTTGGCACGCTAATAACGAAAGTTTGCAGAACACTGAATCTAATGTACCAGGTAAACAAAAATTATTATTCTTCCACTGATACAGCACTCTACCAATCCTTACAAACGCAGACACATCTCCCCCACCCAGCACCCCCCCCCCCCCCGGCCGTTCTCATAATGAGCCAGATGTCTAACACAGAACGTGTTCTCATGTGGGGACTACCAGGTAAACAAAAATTAATATTCTTCCCCTGATACACCACCCTACCAATCCCTACAAACGCAGACACATCCCCCCCCCCCAGCACCCCCCCCCCCCCCGGCCGTTCTCATAATGAGCCAGATGTCTAACACAGAACGTGTTCTCATGTGGGGACAACAAAGGATACGCTCGATGTATGGTCAACACAACCAGAAGTGGTATTGTTTAGAGAGAAAGTCTTTAAAACGGACTAAGAAAAATCAATGATAAACATATAAAAACTAGGCTGGTTGCGAAAATGTACCACATGGCGCCCCTCCCCTGGGTTTAGTATCTTGCTAGTTAAACATTTGTGGAACTAGATTGTTGGAGCATTGTCCAGCTTGGGAACTTTCGTTATAACGACATACGTGTAATCAATTTTGCAAGTGAGTACAATTCACCTATGACTACAAAGTACCGTCGCGCAAGTTAAAAAAGAAAAAATTTAACTTCGTTATCTTATTTTAACTTGTGTCTACCTCTACTTATTTCATGCCACTACCTTTTGCTTACCTCTTCCTGGTGTCTAACTCTACCTTTCTTCTACCTCTACCTCTATTTTGAACATTTTTTTTTAATTACTCAAATTAATATTTGGTGTCTAGCATGGGTTACTTTTATTCTATTAAAAGTGACATCTTTCGTCATCTACCACAACAGAAAGTTTAACGTCACTTTCAATTTCAGCTTCATTAGTAACATACGCACACAAAAAATGTTTGACGTCACACATGATTGTTACCCCGCTTCCCGTATCACTAACTGGTCACACTTTAATAGACCCCCCCCCCCGAAAGTGACTATAATATCGCCGGCCCCTTAATAATAAGAATGCTCAAAGCCAAATTCACTTTCAATTTCAGCTTCATTAGTAACATACGCACACAAAAAATGTTTGACGTCACACATGATTGTTACCCCGCTTCCCGTTTAACTAACTGGTCACACTTTAATAGACCCCCCCCCCCCCGAGAGTGACTATAATATGGGCGGCCCCTTAATAATAAGAATGCTCAAAGCTAAATATTTATGCATCCGTCAGGTCAAACATTCAAACTAGGAAGTAAAGATTATGTTAAACCTTAGTTCTTATTTCCCATTTCATTCCTTCATGTTATCAGTGCTAGTGCATGTTGTTTATGAGTCACGGTGGTGAGGTAAAGATTATGTTAAACCTTTGTTCTTATTTATCACTTAATCGCTCAACTTATCAGTGCTAGTGCATGTTGTCATGAGTCGCTGTGGGGGATAGCATTGTCTAATATAGGTCCCTTTCCGTATGGCCACAGAAAACACTGTCAAAGAGTCTAGAACTGCCGCTTCTTTTTCCAGCCCCTACAAGGCTGAAGTGTAGTAAGAGGTCTAATTACCGTAAGAGGTTGAAAAGCAAAGGTTTCTTTATTTGCAGTCTATATG